CACAGGGTAAAAACAGGTAGATTTCAAAGACTTTTTAAATGAAAAACTGAAGTTTACTTTTCTTTCTACATTCTTAGCAAGCATATCTGACTATTTTCTATTTGTAGCTGGGAAAGGTCCATTTTCACAAAGAAAATGCAGACAAATATTATTACTTAGGTATTAATAAAGATTTCTAGACATAAGTTCTGAATAATGTAACCTGACATAATGGATATCGAAACACAAATTAATGATTTCAGCTCCAACACAGTAGCAGTCTAAGCTATTGTTAAATTTCAAGCTTTTCAACTCCTCAGTGAATCAGTTTTGATCAAAAATCATGATAGATCACAGCTTTACAACAGTCCTTCTTACTTATGTAATTAGTTTCTTTTCTTAAACTGCCTTAACTGGAGGTAAGGCTTTACAAACAACACAAACGGACATCACTTTTTCTGTGAACTTTGTTATACTGATCCATCAAAAGGAACTAATCTGTGCTGTTCTAAAACACACAAAGAAACAAACATCCATGCTAAGGAAATGTTTAAGTAGTTCTAAACAACAGATGGGATTAGAAGGATTATAGAAAAGGTTACTCCTTAATATGAGTCACTTTAAAAGAGTGAACTCATCAGCCATTGAAGTAGTTTCCATTCAATCTGTAAAATATATAAAGTGGGCACAGATGGAGAACATATTAATTTACAACTGGAAAAGCTTCCTTAAAATTTGAAAACTGCTTAACTTCTATGCAAGTGTTAAGTAACTAAGAATGTATATCTCATCATACATGTTAATTATCTCTCTCTCTCTTTTTTCTCAAGGTTTTCTATTCTCAGTTTCAAAATCTCTGCAAAAGGTAGAAGATGAAGATATGTTGCTAACCACATTAAATCTAGGAAAAACTCTCCGAAATGGAGATAGGACTGTGAACAGAGGAGCTATACCTTTGCTGAAGCATTATAAGACTGAAGACAGCAGTGTTTTGGATGAAGAGAATGACAGAAACATCAAGTTTTTGGTGAGTTTTCAGGTTTGCTTTTTGATTTAACTGCAAAATGGAAATTCTCTTTAGAGCCCTTCAGAAAACAAGTACAATAATTTAAAACAATAACCTGGTGGATATACAAAAATATCAATTTAGCATACTATAGACAAGAATAAATTTTCAACTGTAAGTATCTAATTCCAAGATTTTAAATGTTTACCTTGGACAACTGAATAATAGAAAACTGATTTTTAAAGAACTATATGCAGCCAAAACTTGTGGGGAAAAAAAGCCTATATTTATGTTTGTTTCAGCATGTCCCTATAGGCAGCAACAGGCTTTTAACTTCACCAAATATAAGACTCATTATTTTATCATGTTCTTTACCATAAAATCATTTCAGCCAAAGATGTAATGCAGGTCATTACTTTTAAAATATCATTCTGAAAGATAAAATAGTTGCACTGCTAAGTATAAAGGTTAAAAAGTCAAATATAAAAAGTGAACACAACCGATTTTATTTCAAGATAAACTGCTAACCTTGCTTTCCCTTAAAACAGGACACAGGTTCCAGACATGATTTCTTAAATCATGTTATGCCAATCAACTTAGGTAGAAAGCAACTACCTTATCTTGCACTGAAGGGAGCCATGGCTTTTCCAGTTGACACTGAAATTCAAAATATTGAATCAATACAGGAAAGAGAGACTGCAGATGAAGAAAATTCAGCTAAATTCCCTATAGGAAGAAGAGATTTTGACAGTAAGTACATTTTCATTTTTACACAAAAATCATTTCACGCTGGCAAAGTATAATGTGGTGTCTACATAGCAATTAGATAACGGTTCATTTACAAACTCCATGTCTATTGTGATTCAGTGCACAGAGGAGGAAGCATTTGTTAAATTTATTAAATTAGTATTTCCAGAGGCCATAAAGAGTGCTAGCTCTCTGATGATTTAAACTTTCAGATATTTTTTTTTTTCCTGTAGTGCTCAGGTGTATGCTGGGAAGAGTTTATCGACCTTGTTGGCAAGTCTGATAACTACTGATCTACACCACCTTCTTTGAAGATTAAACATTTTATTATTAATTTAATTTGAAGTTACTGTGTTTTAGTGTGGCTATACATATGCATCCAAAAATACTTTCCTATTTCATTGTAGAGGGAAATATAATTCATTACCAAAAAAGAACATAGCTGTAATTACTAATGCTGTATTGTTATCAAAAAATAAACAACTTCTGCATAATCCAGATTTGTAAGTATTTGTCTAATATTACACACAAGCTACGTCCACTTATTTGAGTATGAAAGGAAGCAATTCATGAATTTCACCCTTCTCACAAGATTTTACAGTTTCTGAATGTCAACGTATGACGTATGTCAAACCAAAAACTTATAGTCGAAAAAAATGAGTTAATTTTGCCTGACCAGCAATTAACTTTTTCTTGCTTGCAGTTTTGCTGTGTTTTCTTTTTCTGTTGATTTTGCTGTCCAATTCCTTCTGAGGGTTATTTGAAGTCTTAGGTCTTCTAGCATTTTTTTGCAAAGATGGTTCACTTTCCTTATCACAGATTACTTTGTCATTATTCAAATCCATCTGTTCATTTTTGGAGTTCTTGTTTCTTGGCTGACAACTCAGCTTTTCCATTTCTGTATAACTTCTACTCTGGTGAACATTTTCGGAAATAGTTCCAAGCACTGGTACATCAAGACATGAATTCATACCTTCTGTCACGTAAGAACATCAAAAATATATGTGAAGAAATAAAAAGTTACCTGGGATTATTCATCCTTTTTCTATCAGAGGACTGTCAAGTGATTTTTTTTTTTAAAATCAAAACTAGTGCTTTATCAGCAAAACAAAACTATGATGGTCATTGCAGTTACATTTGCTATGTGTTCAAAAGCGTATTGCCAACTTAAAATGACATTGCTCAAAAACATGCAATAGCAACTAACTTAGGGAAGTGGATTTATAACTAAGATATTGGAAAAGATGCTTAAAGGGCCTAGAAATTGTATATATGATATGGTTTATAGTGGAGTAAAACAAATTTTTCCCCTTTTATTTATGGCAAAACCAGAAATTTCACTAAGCTTTTGTAAAATAAGAAGAAACATTATATAATGTATATAAAAAGTATCAATTTTTTTATCTCAAGATAGCATTAACACATATTTTCCAAACAGATTTATGTTTTCAAAGTGTTAGCATTACAATATTAATGCAAAGACATTTAACTCATAGCATACACAGAGCAATGACACATGTCTATTTTTTCTTTAAAAGATATTTATACTTGAGTTTTACTAAAGCCTTGTTAGCTAATATTTCAAATGTTATCAATCATACTTACTTATTCAATCCTCCTACAGCTTACCTGTGAGATAATCAGCTTTTAAATGTTGCTTTGGTGCAGAAGGTATGCAGGTTGGAATTTGGCTACTGCTGAGGAAATGCTGATCCTTTATTCCACTCAAGTCATTTTTATATGTACATGCAAACTGAGATTTGATTGAAGATTGCTTCGTCTGCAAATAGCAATCTTGTATGAGCTTTAATTATTTACAAGAGTAAAAGACAACACCTGGAAGACTAGTAAAATAATAAGTTTCTCCATTCTTCTGTTTTGAAAGCTATTGGATCACATAAAATACTACAAAAATGGAGTAAACTCACACAAAAAATATTTATGAAGTAATCATTTACAAAGTGTAAAGGCTTTCAAAGGCTTTTAAAGTCCTAAAATAATATAAAAATCTTTTTTCATCTCTTTCAGAAAGTTACACATTAAGTTTTAAACCTTCAACCCAAGATTTTTTTGTGAAAGTTAACCCCCTCTTTTGATAGACTGCAGACTCTACCATTTTGAGTGGCTGTCATAGCTATTACAGTCAATTATCATACTTCTACAGGTCACCGTCTTTGAGATGTCAGTTCATAAATGGCAAGTATAGGATGAGTGTCACCACTTAACCAATTTAGACATAGAGGGAAGCATAAGAGCAACACTGAAAAGGAATGATAGATAATAAGCTAAGTTTCAACATAAAGTATTATTGCAGAACTTTGGCAAATTTCAGTTTTCCAATTTACAAAATAAAGCCACTTCTCTCATTGAATGCTAACGTCTAACTGCACATTTGTCAAAATATACTCCTATAGCGTAAGTTGCCAGAAATCTACAGTATTGAAGAACACTATTGAGCATGCAGAACCAGATACATCTCCACCTCCTAGTCTTCGAAGCAGGGAACCTAATCTCATAGCACAGCTAAATCAAAATATTTGGCTCAACTACAAAAAATTAAATAAAATTTTTCAATATATCCATATTTAATGTAATCATTGGTTGCAGGTCAAACTTCCTCATTTTACACTTAAGTTACTGTTTCACATCAGCTTAGAATTTCAGGGTCAAGCTTTGTACTTTCTGGCCAATTTATCACAAATCCTATAGACTCTGCAAGACAAATTCTGTCCTCACTTCCATTTGAAAGTCTACTGGATTATACAAAGTATGTTGAAACATACAGCACAGAGCAGATAATTACAATATATAATGATTTTTAGCTAATAATTCTATTACAACAGCATAGATGAATTCAAACAAATTTGAGCTGAACAGGTGCTACAGTACAAATATCAGGAAGAAGCAAAAGCAAGAAACATTGTCACAAAAGAAACATTGCTATATATATAAAAGGAATGATTTGTCAAATAAGAGGTTTACAGCCACTTTTCCAATTTAAAAGTTTTCATTATGCAAGTCTACTTTTGTTCTTAACACAAGCATGCTTAAATCTTACAGTTCAGGTTTGAGCCTCATTGATACGTTTTCCTTCCAGCTCAAAATCTCAGATTTAGACAGAAAGAAAAAAATACATTCCCAGAAACCTCCTTTCACAGGGGCCTTCATCCACAGAATTCAGTCACAATTTATGCCACTTTCATCAGATATTGTTTTCATGTACATAAAAAGCTAGAGTCTCTTAGCTTATCATTGAGATGCAACCTAAGTATCTCTTCATGATGCTGCAGTTGGCCAGGTGAACATACTTAGTGGTTTTGGAAAAAAAAAAAAAAGCTATTTATTTACAGAAACATAGGGTTTTTTCCTGACTTAATATGTCTGTACATACATAGTTTTACTTTAAACCTCAGTATTCCCTTCAAGAGTTAAAAAGATCCAATTTTCCCAGTTGCCCATTACTCCCAAACAGCAATTTATCTGTGCCAGATATTAGCCTGAGAAAGAAAGGCAGATTTAACAGGGAGAACTAGCCAGCCTGACTCTCAACAATTCTGATCTTTTTTTAAGTGTTAATCTACCCTGTACTTAAAACATTTACCATAAGGTAAGACTATATACATAGACATTTACAAGGTTTTATGTGCTTCAAGTTTATGCCTCAGCTCACCGAGTCATTAAGTGTAAGTTATTAACTTTATACTCTGAACAAGCTTAAGAATTTGAAACAATTAAAATGCAACGTTAATCTAGTTTAAACTTAAACATCCAAAGTACAATTACAATATTCAGAATAAGGGGCTTACATTTTCTTCAAGCTTAAGGTTACTATAATATTAACAAAAAATATTTTCCTGTATTTGCTGTTTTTTTAAACATTTCATCTTAGTCCTTTAAAATTCCCTTAATTACTGTTCAGCAAATGACACATATCAAAAAACTACACACAATAACTTGCACAGAGTTCCATCACATATAAACACTGCAAGAGGCAAATGACCTACAATTTGTGCTGAGTTGATGAAGCTATAACAAAGACAGCACGAAGAACATCAGACTTGAGCAAGAAAGTGTGATAGCTACCATTCTATAACCAACAATAAATCCAGTTATTTTTTGAGACATCAAGGTTTCTTTTAACCACCCCCATCCAACACTTCACTAATTCAGTTTGCAGGGATTAGAATATGTGGAGTCAAAGGACAGAAGTCAAGCTGAAATACTGAAAAAATTGCAGCACGAACCCACCTGTCTGTTTCAACTTCACTGAAGCTTGAAATATGCCTCGAGACTTCACTCTGTTGCATCACATACCATTTAGTCATCTGCAAACAGTATACAAAGCTCTACCAAATATGACTGTTTCAGCTGATGCTAGTACTAATCTAGATGGCATATATAAATCAAAACTGCAAGACTAAATTTGTCAAAGTAGTCAAACTTCCCAACTAGTCTAGGAATGTATACTCACTAGTAAAAGACAACTGTGTTACATTGAGTGAGGAAGCAATAAGTAAATTTTAACAGCCTGAAGGCAGAACAAAAGAGCACAAGTCTAGCACCGAATTAAAAAGCAGAGTTTCACTTGAATGTTTTTAAAGAAAAAAGAGCAACTTAAAACTTGATTGAAACACACATAATAAAGCCTGGCAACAGCTTGAAATAGCTCTTAGAAATTAGAGCTCTTTTACATCAAATTCCCTGAAATCCCTGAAATCCCTGCTTTGAGGGCACCACTGCAATGACCCACAGCTCTGGGAGAACAAAAATATGTTTTGAGCTCAACTGGCTAATGAAGTAGTTGCACACAAATAGTGTGCAATGACCTCAGACTTACTATCCCCTCTCCTCTTCACAAACAAGTGGGATGTTGCTGTCATCCCTATACAAAGAAAAAAATTCGGCTACATTTCAGAAAACGGGGTTTGCTGCTATTGCTGTTCAGCTGGAAGAAAGTATGATAGAATTTAAGACAGTGTTTCAGCACACATAGGTCAATTAATAGTCCTAACAAATAGATAAAGCAGGACATTCTTCCACCTTGACTTCTATATCTACAGAAGTTTTTCAGTTGTTTGAGATCCCAATATAAAACATTTGGTTTTATATGAAATATTAATGGTGCTTGCTGTATTTATTTCTAAGAGTTAGTTGATAATCTATTCCAGATCTCCCTCCAGCATCTGCATACAGACAGTACTGCCAATATTTAGTCACTAAGAATGTTGAGATTTGGTTTTTATACACTGGAATGGCATAATAGAATTTGAAAACCTACATCAGTAACAACAAACACATGTTTTTATTTTCAAGCCAAACAATTAGAGTACTATTTGGAAGAGGAAAAGAGATAAAAAGAGAAAATGTCTTTTCTCCACCCTTACCCTTGTCCTTTTATTTTAGAAAAAAACATTAAAGGTAAGTTGAAAGAGAAAGTTGAAAAAGGTAAAAGAGAGCAAAGGGAAGAGTAACAAAACAATAAATGGTAAGTATCATTGCCAAACCAAGGCATCATGTTATTCAAACATGAAAAATGTCCTGAATAGCTGAGGTAATAGCAAGCTCTTATTGTACTGAAACTATCAAAATTTTTTTAGCATAACATTGTACCAAACTTTTGCTATCCCAAATTAACCTACTACTGTTCTGAGAACATTAAGCCTCACATCACCTCATTATTGGGTTTCAAAAGTACTCAAAACTCACAGCTATGGGTCCTAGGAAAGTAGTTTAGGGGTCTTGTAGAAATCAAAATGGTATTTTCTACACAAGTGTGGTTTATCAACTGACACTAATAATAAAGTCTTTCTTCAGATTTTGTGCTGAACATAACCTTTATCTCCCCTTGCCCTTTCTCCTCCAGATACTCATTTTTAGCATACTGCTTACACATTGAAACTACTAGTCAGCTTAGTGTTCTCCATAATTATATTTCACTAAGAAATAAATATTTCTTGCCACAATAGATGAGACTACTACCTGAAGAAGATTGTTTTCTCTATTACTATGAATTTTCTGCTCACAATTATAATGGGCATATAGAAAACTCTTGATAAGTTCCTCTTGATAGTTTTCCAAGTCACAGTTTATTCGTACTGGAGTAACAAATAGGCAAAACAATTATCTCAAATAACAGTATTTAGAGAAGTAAGCAATGAAAAATAACAGCAGTGCATGAAGCTAGATATTAAGTCATTTTATATAGGCATGAGCAAGTCACATGAGAAAGGCAGACTGGGATTTTTTGCTTTGTGGAGCTTTTTCCTTGGAAGGATTTCTATACACAGTAAAATTACAATGAACTTCAAGCATGCCAAGATTTGTTAGAGTTCTTAAGCCACAAGTTCTTTTTAAAACTAAAACTACAGTTATGTTCCCAATTGGAGGGAAATAGTGCCTCATATAGGAAAGGTTGTCTCCAGTTACATTAAGAAAAAAACATGCCAAACTACTGAAAGTCCTTGCAGCTGTTTCAGGGTAAATGTGTTAACAATGCAGCAGGATTTCTAAAACAATGTATCAAAAGCCCAAAACAATCCTAAGTTTACCAAAAAAAAAAAAAAAAAAAAAATCTGTTACTCTCTCATATATTGCACTATCACAGCCTAAGAGCTATTGTTCCTTCCTTCTTAACTCCTAAAGTTCTCAGTTTCACCCAATCCCATTAGTTCAGGAACAGTATTTTACCTACAACTTGAAAGTCTAATTAATCTTTTCTGGTGCAGAAGAAAGACAAAAATCTTACTATGGAACACTTTTGTTGTCTTAAGTTGCTCTTTAATCTAAACAAAGTAGGTGATTGTAACAGTCCTTCCATTCCTCTCCCTCACCAATAAGCAGGACTTACATAACCCCATCAAAATCAACAAAATAAGTATTCAAACAATAGGGTATCCAACCATTTCAGATAAAGGAAGTATAATTTGAAAAAGTAGACATAAGGTTGGATGATCCCTTTTTAGATAAAATAACCTCTCTCTTGTCCAATTAAACTTTCTACATGTTTTTATAAAGCAGAAAGGAGTGATGAGGACAACTGACAAGAGACATAACTCAACAGATGTTCTATAGACCTTTCTGAACTAAAGACTCCTTCCACAAAATACCATTCACCAGAAGACAGTTCACTTAAACAATAGATATCAAACTTGAAACCCTAAATTGTCTCTCAAAGCAAGATTGAGCTGCTTCTTATTACTCTTACCTACTTCTGCTAGAGGGAATGAAAAAACAGCAACATGCTAGCTCCCCAGACTTCTTTCTCCTCAAGAGATGAGAGCGACAGCTTTGCCTCCTAACAAATGCCGTTATAGTTAGGTGATGTTTCTGCATCTCTTCCAGTATTTAATGAGGACTGAAAGACAAAAATATTTCTGTGTCTTTCACTGTTGCCAGGAATTTGTTTTGGCACAATGGAAATACCCACAGATTTCTTTTAAACACCAATTCCAGTTCATAGCTATTCATTTACTTTATCCACTCTCAATATTTTTAGATGCTAAAAACATATGTATGATGTTGTGCCCTAGGTCTAAATGTTATCAATCTGCACTCCTCCACATAATTCTGAAGTTCAGAGATCAGTTCCTCTTAAGGAAGGAGCAGGCATAATGATTTCTGCCCCCCCCCCCATTTTTTTCATTGGATTTTGTTTGTTTGTTTGGGGTTTTTTGTTTGGTTTGCTTGTTTCTTTTAATTTAGAGAAGTGTTTCTCATTTCACTTTCTAGATTTTCCTATATTTCTTTACTTAACACATACATCTTGATGGGACTCAGCATACAACCAAACTAATCATCACTACTGTGTTTTTCTTCCCCTCTCAAATATTATGGAAAAGTAGACTTTTATGGGACAAGTTCTAATGAGAGATCATTAATTTGTACTATAGGCTAACTATCTAACCACTGATCACAAGCAGCATGATAAAAAGGTCCTTAAGATAATTTTATGGAACTAATGCTACCATCACACATACTGCATAAGAAACTTCTCAGAAAAATCATTGACATCGAGAAGAAACATTATGTTACTGTTGTCTTATTCAAAAAACCAAACGTATGGTATCACTTTCAAGTCAATTGTTAAAACAAATGCATTACACAACAAAATTTAAAACTGTGAATTTTACATGCAACCTGTACACACTTCAAGATGGTTATATGAAGTAATAATGAAGACTGATATTCAGTGTAAGATTATTACAGCACTAGAAATCTGTGGTCATGGACAAGGAATTCATTGTGCTATGTGCTGCACAGTAAAGACAGAACAAAATTCATTTCTACGAAGAGACATTACAATCTGAGACAAGAAATATACAGATTCATGAAAGGAACTGAAACTAGTCATTGTAACGGGCATCCATCTCAACACAAAGCACTGCTAAGTTTTGGGGAGAGGTTGATTTAAAGATATTGAAAAAGGTTTTAAAGGAGGATAATGAGTTCTGCAGATACCTATAGGAAATCTCTTCAGTCATAAGAAACAGCATAAAACAGACAGCTGAAAGACCTAGTCTGAAAATTAACAAACAATGAAGATTGCTATTGCAGGCTGAATGTAAGCGAGGACAGATATCTCAAAGCAGCAAATCAGAAATAATCAATGGGTTAGGATAGGTTAAAACAAGTAGCTTATATGTACTACAACTTAAAGGAACAGATTGAGATGCGAACGGAAGAACGAAATCTAGCATCTAATCACTTTGATAACAACTTTTTGTACAGCAATCTCAGTGAAGAACGATAGGCCAAAGCTGCAACTGTCAAGTCCAAGAAAAATACACAGCAACACGTCAAAAAGCAAAGTGAACATTTAATAAATTATACTTGAATGGACATACAGATAGAGAAGAATATATTCCAGAGGTGTTATGGAGTGAAAAAGTAACAGGTAGGACACCATCCTCAGTGTTAAATATACCAGCAAAGATAGACATACCGCCTCAAGATCAACAGCTGGGTATTCACAGGATGGTATAGAAGTAACAAAAGACGTCAGTTTTGACAGAAGGGACACTTAGGTCTGATGTAGATCCATGAACTGTTCATATAAAGATGATAGCTGAACTTCTATTTGTAGATGTATTCATCCACAAAGAAGGTACAGAAAGAGAAAGGAAAGGAAAGACAGGGACCTAGCTGGTATTACCTACCAGCTGGTATTTTTGATTAGCAAAAAAGCATTTCCAAAAAAAGTTAAAATACTTTCATAATATGAATCAGTCTCAAGACTCATTTTATATAGTTTCTGTCAAAAATCTTGTAAGTTTCCAGTAAAGGTCTCGTATGTGACACATAATGACTTTCAGATAATAATTTTTGTACCATGATACTGAACACAGCTATTCATGAATGCAATTACAAAACCTCCATTTAGATTAGAAAACTATCCATTTCAATGTATTATGCAAACAGCATATCACATTTTTTCCTATCTGATGAGTAAAGTTGAAATTTAAATATGCTGTTTATCAAAAAAATTAATATAATGAAGATCCTTTATCAACTTCAATCTTTCATAATTTGGCTATGAGTTTTAACTTCACTTTAACTAGTGCATGTATCCAAAGCACCCATCATCCACCCCACTCCCATTCCAAAAAAAGCACTCAGAATGAAGTTGGAGTATATTTAAAACACATGCTGGAAACACTGACAGTGCTTTTCATTTTACTTCCTTTTAATGGCTTTCTACTTCTCATATATGTAATATGTTAAAATTCCCCTCATGTCCAGTGGCAGAGAGGTATTTTCTGTTGTGCTGTTCTAGAACTAATTCTGATGGCTTAAAACATCTCTGTTTTCTTCCTTAAATATCAATATATTTGTGGTTTTACCTGTTGTCAGGACTAAGTTTGGAAAAAATATTAAGTCACTACTTTTATTTAGCTCTGTTGAAATTCTGTGGAAGATACAAGCCTCTGCCTCTTTCCATAGTCCCAACATTCAAGTTGACAATTGTGAGAAAAAAAGACTGTGTAACATGCAGTACACTGGAAGACTGAAGTTGTTCTTTTGAATAGTGCCACTCCCAATACCAACATACTCCTGTAATGTTCCATTTAATCTACAAAAAAGCAAACATCAGCATCTTTATTTTATCATTCACAAAGCAATGCTATGGAAATGTCCTCAGAATGTTACAAATAAAGAGCATCAATAAAAAAAAAAGGCAATCAAAGAGTCATTATTACACTTTTAGAATGCCTATATTATCAGAACTGAAATCAGGTGCCTGTGTTCAGTTTTATCTCTGTTTTCACACAGCTTCAGTTTTATTTCTATAGTCGTGATATAGACAAGATGGCTAAATGAAGAGCTATAGATTAACTCGGTATATCTCCATTAAGAGATCTTCATTAGGAAGTACTTTTAAAACTTCAAGCCTTTTTCTTCTGGCCGTTTAGGCATTTCCATTCATATTACAACACTGTTTGAGTTGGGCCAATTACCACAAGTTAATCACAATTACATTTCTGTAGCTATGGGATACATTTCAGCCAAGTATTTGAGAATTTTAACACTGTTATTTTCATTTCAGCGTTATTATTTCAGTGCATCTGTAATCACATGGCAACTCCTACACAGTACCTTAATTTTTTTTTCATCCATAGACTTTTGCATATGTTGTCTATGAGGTTTTGTAGAAGATCCATTGGATTGTGCTGGAGATCTATATTAAGAAATGATAATAAGTACTTAGAACATGTAAAAACAATTAATTAAGAAAAATATTTACCATACTAAGTTACTCAGAAACAGGAAGGCAAGCAACTTTGCTCTCCAAGCCTTACTTTGTTTTCTCCTCTCCTACGTAACCACATGTACTGTGACAACTGAAGACAGTATAATGAAACCAAACTTACAGTTCCAATTTCTGGTATCACTTTGCAGTATGTTTATAATATTGTCATTCTGCAGCCACAGCATTATTATTTGTAATGCTGGTGATGAGTTACCAAGTCACGATTCTACTTACACTCTCTTGAATAGCATCTGGTTGACTTCCAAAACAATTTTCCTCATATTTACAGACTTTTCAATAGAAATACTCACGCAAACAAAATGCTTCCACTGTCCTATATCTCAATATGTGAATAGTTACATACATTCATGAAAAATTTTGATGCATATAACAAAAAAAAATTGATGTATATAAGGGCGATTTTTTAGTCTTGAAATAGGAACTAATCTGTGCATCTGTAAATAATTACTTCGCTGTTTATGCTTATGTCAGGCTAGTGTGCAAATGAGGACAGTTTTTTTTTCAAAAATAACTCATTCTTATTCTGATTTATTTAGCTCATTCTATTCAATTATTCCATAAATAAAATTTATTTTATTTAGCTCATTCTTTATTTATTTCTATTTGTCTGTAGTGCAAAAGTTCTGCAGGACTTAGCAATTTTTGTGCTATTTAAATTCCCAATATACATAGCTTCAGCATGCTCCCGTCTACACGGTTGTTCTGGTTTATGAGCCCTCTTTGTAACCTGTAATGACAAAGTTCTCAGCATCCCACTTTTCCAACAACTGATGATTCCTCAGGGTAAGCAACTGATTAAATTATCACTGCTTCTTCAGTGCATGGATAGGTTAGTTTCCTTTTCACTGCCCACAGAAATGGGTTTTAAGAGATTCTTTGTTTTGTACACTAGATCAACATGGTATTCCTTAAATAGAAGGAATTTATAAAAAGCAAGAAAAGAAATGAGCAAGAAGTAATGACTGTCTTTAACATTAACGGGATAGGAAGATGATGGAAATGATGTAAAAAGTGGCAGTAAACAAAAAGTTGTCCCAAAACCTGAATACCTGTTGAACCTGCAAAATCAGAAAAAGAACATTTATTGAAAAAAAGTTATAAAAATATTTAACCTATGGTCATGTGAAATTTAACTCTAAACCATAAATAATGTCATTAATTATATGAGAATCACCTTACTTTGACTTCAATATCATCACTACATTTTTATGTTTGCTTAAAAAAATTAAAAATGCTATGGGAAAAATAGCACATTTCTGCCTTGTATGCAGCTTCAAAATAATAATAAAAAAAGATAATTTTATTTAAACTTCTATAATGCATATCTAAAAGGAATATTTTCCAGAAGATTGAAATGAGGTGCTTACAGAAGGAAAATACGTGACAGATATACTAAAGGACAGACTAAGTAAGAAAACTTCAACTTGGTTAGGATGTTCTAAAACACTGAGAATGTACTGTCAGTGTTTACACTTTCAGTTCTCCAATCTGCATGCATTTCACAAATTACAATGAAAATATTTTTAATTAAAGAAAGCCAACAAGAAGTTAAACACAGTAGCTGCTTCTCAGCAGTAGCTTTTTTGCAGGATTTCAGTGCAGAGACAAAGCTATTCAATTGATCTAGAAGTTTATTAAAAGAAGAGTAAAACAAAGCAAGAAAAATTCCTGAGGTGCTCTCGTTTAACCTCAGTCTTCACCTGAATACTAAGTGCTCTCTCAAACTGACCAGAACCCAGATAAAACTACCCACAAACTTTAAACATACTTTGGGATTCTTCAGTAATGAAATATCTAGAAATGACAAAAAGCATTGTGAAAAAAAACAAAACAGTAACTATCATGATCAAAAACCATAAAAAATAACTACTGTATGAGGTGACCAACAATCTGATAACACAGAATCAAATAAGCAAAAAGAATCCGAAAACTGCAGTGACGTTTACTGCCAAAGGTTCTACCATTCATCCCGTAAATTGTTCCAGATTTACTATTAACAAAATATTGGCAAAAAGACTGCAAACACTCTAGATCAAATATCTGAGACATAAGCATTAAGAAAAAAGTGCTGTACCATAGAGGTACCTGTACATTGATACAGATCGGAGTGCCACCTTATCTACTATCTTGTGTAGTATTGTGTTCAACATTCAGAAGGCAATTGGAGCCTTACAGTAAAGCTGCTAGAGAAATGCAGAACACAAAGATTTGATAAAAACTGAGAATAGGTATTGTACCTGCTTACATCTACACCAAGAAGATTTTAAGTCAAAGGTCTTATCATTTCGGGGAAAATTCAAGAAAAATTAATTCAGCTGAAAAATCAAATGAGGTAAGTGAAACCAAAGTACTCAGTAGGCACTCTTATTCAGAAATAAGGGGCTTAAACCCCATTTTAAATTAAAGAGTAGCTTTAAAAAAAAAGAATTAAAAAAAATCAAGGTTTCTAGCTCTGAATAATAGCAGTGTTTAATTCAGAAGAGCATTAACTTAAATCTGATTAAGTGCCTTTTCATTCTGATAAAAATACAACCATGATGAGGTTTATTAAACTAATGAAACAATTTAATAAGTAATGTGGATCAATTTTCCTGAATCTGAAGTAATAGAAAAATAAGAGGCTGAAATCAGGGTTATTTTCAGCTTGTTGCATAATGAAATAGAAATGTATAGCTACAGCTATCCACAGATATTCCAGAGTTGAAAGAAATAGTCCACAATATGTTGTTATAAGCTGCCTTTTGTATTAAAAATTATTACAGGTTTATTTAGAATTCTATTACTGAAATGAATTCTTTTAAATTTTATTAGAATGTGCTTGTTCCTTTGGTTTCATAAAAGAGGTCAAATGACAAATATAATGGAACCCTTAAATTCTTTGACTTTTAGGATCCTTAATCTTCCAATTTAGGACCTATCACTGTTTTTCTCTTTCCTCGCTGTTATCCTCACAGCCTTGCACCTGCACACTCAGATGGTGTTGTTATGGTGGGCTCTCACAGAAAACATCTGCCATCAGCATAAGAAACACCCCTTTCTTCCCCACTTTTCCTACTCTTTTCATTGTAGTTGTTCTTTTATGTTAGGGAACCCAAAAACATGCATGCACAGAGCTTAATAAGCAACTGACCACGCAGCCCCTGCTTTGATGAACAGATGCTCCAAAAGTGGGGACAACCAACAAGGGGTTTGAGCAGGTCCTTATGAAGACAATATAGTTACCCTGGGAAAAGCACTGTTGGGGATCCAACCACTGTACTACACAGGATGCTTGTCTGGGAACTCTGGCTGCTTTACTTCCCAGCTGACCACCAGGGAGAGTTTTATCTTCCCTCTCCTCTCCTTATCCCTCCTCTTTTGATTTTATTCTTCCCCAAAAGCAACTGTCACGATTAAAGTCAATGTTTGCCATCAATTACAGACCCTATTAATAAATCTTCATGCCTCTGAATTTCTTTCAACATCCTTTGTGCAATACAAACCTGATTGTAGGATCATGATATGAAAAACTATTTAACTATTTAAAACTGTCTCCACAAAAGAATTCCAACATAGGAAGAAAACAGGATATAATCAAAAAACTCTTCTGTCATAGCTAGACAAACGAAGCATCTTCAATTTTAATGTAATCTAGTTAGCTACTGAACAGACAGTATTTGAAGTTAGCAATTCAAACTCAACTTAAGAGGTGGGTATTTGGAAGGTTTGTTGCAAAGGATCTTCCTTCACAGGTTTTATGCAGCCCAGAAATGTACTAGCTCAAAAAGTCTATATTACAAAAGTATCTTGGAAGATACAGAAAGTGTGAATGAGGAGGTAGAATACTTTTGAGAACTTGAGACTGTTCTAAGAATACTTTCCCTTTACAGCTAACCTCACAACAGACTGCCCTTTCGTCATTTGCTTTGTGTAAGTAATATCAATGCTTTGTTAGCCACTCAGTATAAGACCTTTAAAAATAACCAAAGCCAATACAAACACAAAAATCCTTCTAATACTCACCTAAACAGTGTCAAAACAGAGGTGATTCCAAACAAATTTAAGTTTTCATTGTCATATAATAGTTCTGCTTTGTTCTGGGTAGGAGGATTAACAGCTTCTTCATCCAGAAGAATTAGTAAGACCTTTACAGTATCTCTGCCACAATACACAGTGCCATGATTTATGGAATGCAATTTTGGCTGAAAGTAAATAAAATTAAAAGGAACACACAACAGGAAAGGTCAATAAGCCAGACCAATAGTTTGCATCCAAAAGCAACCCATATCGGCACAAGGTGCGAGGATTCCCTCCTTCCCTTTTACAATGAGCATTTATGCGGAACCTGCCCATGGGAGAGTTTCTTCCTCATCTCAAGCAATTAGTACAGTTTAGATCACTGCCAGCTGGAGGTATACACTGATGAGCAAGTCACACAGATAAATATACTAATCTGTGATGAAACCATACAGCAGAAATTAACATATTACTTTCTCACATCCAATTTGAGTGCTATGGGGTACACAAACACATTCAGGTAAAATCCAAGTCTTCTGACTAAGTGAATCTCCTAAAGTGGTTGGTTAAAAGTGAGATTTCCATCAAGATTTGACAACAGAGGTACTTGGCACAATCTCCTGTTGTTTGGAACAGGATGAATTCCTCACAATTTTCCACAAGAATAAAGAATTCCTTAAAGAAAATAATAATCCACATCTGGAAGTGCTCAATGTTACAGTCAGCAGTACAGATGTAGAACTCCATAGCCACTACAGGACTGCAAGAATTGCAAGTTTGCTATATTTTTCTTTAAAATTACTAGGAGTTCCATAGACAAATTTAATGTTTAATACACAGTAGTAGATTCTAAAAACTATAAGCTTTCTTATTTACCAATACACAGAAACATTGAATAGCCTGACTTAGTTCAGAAGGACAGGACAAGCAATGAACTACATTTTTCTAATCAGTTAACTGCTTTTAAACACAGTCTTGAAAAGATCAAATTCTATTTCTCTCTCTATTTGATTACATCAATTAGTGCATGTAGCTTTCAAGAAACCATAGCAACACGTCAGTCAGTTACTATAAGTTATAATCAATAGCTAGAAATAGCAATTACAGAAATGGTTGTTACTCGGTTTTACAGAATTGGCTTATTTCAGTACCATTTAATTTCCTCAAAATTTATTCTGAACCTCTTCAGTCATTACATCACATTATAGATTTTTATAAAATGTCATGTGTGTCACAGTAAATTTGTCTTAATGAGAAAAGTACAAATTTGGCATCATCTTGACTGCTTATACACAAAGGAAAAAAATAATCTTTAGAATATAACATAACCTCTTAACTGCCAAAAGATGGCCTTCAGAAATTTCATGTACTACAACAACAGTGACTTGATGTACTAACCATGGACTAAAATCTGATTGTCCGAGGCACAATAAGAACTTTAGGCAAGACAACAATCCCTGCCATAAAAATCTTATTAGTAAACTTAAAATCATGATTCAATTTTTTTTTTTTCCAATAAAACAGTTGATCAGTCTTTCAAGGGTAGCAACCATTCGCTAATCCAGACTATTATAGTTGGTTGCAGAAACACCAGCCAGATTCCATTTACAGTAGTAATTTTCTCAGGAAGAAATTAATCATAACTCCTATTAGTCACTTGTGCAGGATTCAACACAAAGAAGTGCTTCCTGCTGCATAAAGTAATAACTTTTCCTGGAGCTCTAGATTCTTATAAAACAGGTATTTGCAGGAAAACTGAGCAATGGTGGAAGAAAACTGCCACTGCCAGGAGAAAAGCAAATATTTTTCTAACAAAGTAACTCTTTTCAGGTACATTTTATGAGGAAGCAACCTTCCCAGGAGCTAGTAGAGGCATAATTTTCAGCTCTATAGTTAAGATCATATTTTAAATTTGCACACAAAAAAATTATTTAATCTACTACATATGAAAAAATGTAACACCCTAGCAAAACCAGAATTTATTATGAATAT